TCTCTCTCTCTCTCTCTCTCTCTCTCTCTCTCTCTCTCTCTCTTGTTCCCTCCCCGACTGGCGTGTAAAGCTTTGAGCTTGGAAAAGTTTTTGGCCGGTTGAACGTGACCTCACATGAGCTGGCTGCGAAGGGCCGTGCTGTGCGCGTCTGGCTGCAGGCCTTCCTCCTCTTCTTCTTCTCCTTCGTCTTGTTCTTCATTCTCGCTGTATACCCGGGGCCTGTCTGCTTGGCCCTTGCTGGTCGACGAAATAAAAGACAGGGGGGACCCTTTTATGATTATAAAAAGATAAAAGAATTTGTCTGGAGGGTCTGTGTGCGGACCCGTAGCCAACGCCGAAGTGCCCCCTTGCAAGTCTCAAATTTCCTCTCTGGCCAGAGTTTAGGTGGCCGTAAACGGGTAGGATGTGGCTCGTGATTACGGGGGAAGGGAAGTGGTTTGGGTGGCGTTGGTGGGCGGCTCTGCTGGCTGAGAGCTTCCCTCCTCGCCCCTCTCACCAATTCTCCCCAAAACTTGAAATGTGTGATGATGGGTCTTGCACGGAGCACTACTTCTTGCCACTTTGAGGAGTCGTACTTCCCCGCATAAATGCCATTGCCAGCGGCGAGTGTCGGTGAATTCGTTACAGACAGATGCCTTCTGGTGTCAACAGACTTTGCGCGGTGGTCAGACATGTTGCTTGGCCCTCGTGCCAGTCGTACAGTGGGATGTATGCTAAGCTCCTGCTGGCCATAGAGAGGCGGAATTGAGATATCGCAGCGCTTCGTATAGTAAGTAATGTTCGGCAATATGTTTGTGTGCTTTTGCAGAGCGCGCTGGCCTCGGCTGACGACAGCCCGTCCATCCTGACGCAGGTGTGGGTCCGCGACGCTCACAAGCAGGTGTGGGCGAAGGCGTTCATCCTGCTCAAGGACCGCTGCCTCTACTTCTCGTACAAGGTGAGTGGACCGACCGACCGACCCGATGACACGATTATATACCACGTGACCGCGTCGATTTTGTGGAACAGATTGTGGGTTAATAGGTTTCTCCCTCTGCGCTCCCACTCGGGTGTTTGATTTATCGCTTTTGAATTGCGTTTCCTCCCCACGCGCGCGCGACTTAAATTGATTTTCCTTGGGGATTTTTAGGGTATCGGACTGGAGCTGATTTGATTACATCTACTTGGCTTGGGGACTTTCCATTCGCCTTTAACAGAGCTCTTTTTCAATTTCCGTGCATTTTATCTTTTGGGCATCTCTCAGGTAGAACTGCTCGGAGGGGTTATGAACCAGCACAGCATGAGGCTCAATCTCGGGTGTGCCCCGGCGTGCTAAGCAGCTCGTTATACGATCCCGTAATAAAGCCCTCCGTCTTGACGTACGAAACCGCGCAGTATCCCCTAACATTTGCCTTTTGCGGCAATTATGTTCCCCTTAATAACGTTTTCGAGGGCTCGCTGCTATGGCAACGAAATAAAGAACACGCGGCCCGCGCCTTTATCTCCCGATAAAGTTTACCGCCTGATAAAAGCTTTTTGGCGAAACTTTCACATGCGCGTAAAAAGCTGGGCGAGGAGGGTCCGGTCCCGGGCAAGCGCTCCGGCGCCGTCCGAAGGCGAGTCTGAGGACATAAAGTATACGCCCCTCTCACCTCTCGCCGCCTCACGACACGACGTGTCGCAGACTACGCGGTCATCGATCGGAATCAATAAATTCAATCATATTCAGGTGCGCGGGCTGACCCACGGTGACCCCGGCGCGTCGTATGGCGTGATGTGATGTGTCGCCTGGCGCTACGTGCAGTGCGCCGCGTAACCTTCCGTCCGGTACGGCGTGAAAGTCCGAGAGATGGGCGGCCAGAAAGGGTGGGGGTCACCTTGCCGATGAACTCCTCCCCGCTCCGCCGCGCCCGGTAGCGATAGGGTGATGGATGCCTGCGAATTTTTGATGTGCAACAAGTTTACCAGCGGAACGTGTGTGTGTGTGTCGTGTGTTGCAGTTCCCCGCGCTGGCCAAGTTTCTGCGGCAGAACCGACGGCTGGATCCGCCGTCTCCGCTGGCGTCCATGAACTCGCATAAGGTGAGTGACGATGATGGTGGACGGGCGCTTCGCAAATTCTGTAAGAGATAAGAGACCGGCCGACTACAGTTATTTTCAGTGGCCAGAGCGTGACATTTATCAATCGAACACAGGGCATTTTTATCGACAAAAATGCTCGTCGTGTAACTCATTCATACGCCAAATATTTTTCTGTAACACACATTTAATATTTTGGCATGGTAAGCTACATAAAATTCCACAAAATGGGGTACTCATACAGAGATGACAATTTTAGCAGTTTGTCCTTCGAATAGGAGATTCATTTTTGTCCATTATAACATTTTTTTAATTTTTTTATTTTTGCGTTTGGTCAAGTCTTTACTCTTTGCTTTCCTCCCCGATCCCTTCCTTGGCCTGCTATGCCCCTTCTGCCTCGCGGGCACTCTCCAGTCCGGAGGGCGCGGCCGCCGCGCGGGGCGCCCCTCCCGATGTGACACGGACTCTCCGGGGAGCCGCCGCCGCTGCTGCGGATGGACGGACGGACGGGTGAATAAAGTTTGAGGTTCCCGACTTGATGGCGCGTGGCGGCGGGTGGCCGCGCGGCGAGGAACGGGGAAGGGCCCCCGCTGGGGCGGTCATGCCTGCGGGGTTCACCCGCCGCGGGTTCACCGCCCCCCTCCCGTCCCCGCGCCCCGCTACGCCCCGCCACCCCCTTGAGCTGCTGAGCGCGGTGGTGGCGTGGCCAGGGGGGAGCGAGCGAGAAACCAACCTGTCACTCACGATCATGCTGCCGGGGTGAGATGCCGGCAGCAGGGCGCGCTCGGCTCGCTCCGCCCCGCTGCCAGTTTGTTTCGCATTAAGTGCAAAAACCATGGCGAGCTTACTATTTAAAACGCCGCGGCGGGCCGCGCGTGGCGCTGTGGCGCTGGGCCAAAGCCGACTCTTCGCGAGCAGCTCGTCGGGCTGCTGCGCGGGCTGCGGCCGCCTGCGCCCGGGCGGCAGGGAGCAGCAGCGGCGATCGATCCGGTCGCGAGGGGCGAGGGAGGGAAGGAGGGGGGGGGGGGAGATGCAGCAGCAGTCTTTTCAGCTAATGACGAGAGTGGTGCGCGAGGCAGGGCGTTGAGAGACTTGAGAGGGACAGCTTTGCCCTCTCCTCTAACCCTCCTCACCGCCTTCACCCCCGCCCGGCCCCTGGCTCCTCACCGCACTCCTTCTGACTTGCCACTGGAATCGGCCAACAGTCGGAGCAGCAGACTGCTAAAGCTGCGCTCGCTGCGGTGTGGGGATGGCAGCAGCGTCGACGTCATTCTCCCTGTCCTCCCCGCCCCGCCCCGCCCGCGGCAGCGGGTCTGTAGGGGAGGGGAGGGAGGAGCCAGTGATTCACACTCAGTCAAGGTCAAGATCATGGCCAGCCAGCTGTACTGCCGAGCTACTCTGCCGGATCGGATTGGATCGCCCGGAGCGGCCGCCCGGACGACGACGGCGAGCGCCCGTCCTTCCGCCTGCCAGGCCTGCCCGCCCGTCTGCGTCGCGACGTTGGCGCAGAGCGACAGTGCCGTGACAGCGTCGGTTATGTTGTTGCTCCTGGTGGTGCTGCTGCTTATGGGCGTAAATTATTCGGAACGACCAAAAAAATCGAGCGGGTTTGCTATTTGCTCCGGCGGGCGCCTTGGTGACACTTTTGTCGCATTACCCGGTGCCCTGCCGGGGGCCCCCATCCCCTCAGTCCCCACCACCACCACTACCACCCCCTCTTTTCCTTCCTGCGGCACCCTCTCGTCGTCGACACTCTCCTTTTCCCTCGAATAATTTTTAGCACGCGCGCGCACACGGCCAATGTAGTTAGTAGTACGGCGATTTGCATCAAATAAGCGCCTGGCTGATCTCATCTTTATGCTAATGGAGTTGAGAGGAGAAGAGGGGGGCAGCGTGCGAATAGGGAAGGGGTAGGGGGGGGAGTGGGCAACCATCGCGATCAAAGCTCGATCCTGCCTGCTGCTGCACACCTCTATGGGTGCACCTGACTGTGTATGCCCATGCCCCCCCCCCCCCCCCCCCCCCAGGGCGATCCAGGCGCACGCCCCCCCCCCCCCCCCCCCCCCCCGGTAGTGCGCTATATGGCGCTGCCGCGCCGCCGTCCCCCCGCGGGCGACGCGGTGTAGAAGTAGTGGTAGTAGTACACCAGGTGAGTTACTCGGCCACACTACTTCTATACTTCTTGTTTCTTCGCGAAAGTTGGCAACGTTGGGCGGGTTGCGGGGCGTGGCGTGGCGCGGAGGAGCGCTGTGCGGCGCTGCGCGGAGAATGAGGAATGGTGCTGTAATGGCCTTGCCGCACGCGGCATTTACGCCCTTCCTTCCCACATTGTGGTGGGGCTGGGCGGGGCGGGGCGGCTTGTCATTGGCAGCGGTCATCATCCATCTATCGCCGCTACACGTAATTTGCGTACAGCGGCCGCACGCTACCCTGCCTGCCGCCCCCCCCCCTCCTCCACCTCCTCCCTCCGCTACATCATCTTCCCCCCTGTCGTGCCCCCATTGATTCCGGCCCCAGTTTGGCATGATGGAGTTTTGGTGGTTACTTCGGCATGACGGGCTCTGCGGCGGTGGCGGTGGTGGCGGCGTGGGGCTCGCGAGGAGGAAGGTGGGGGCGGTCATTGCCAAGGTGACGAGCGGGGCGCGGGGAGGGAAGGCGGG